CACCTAGTTTAAATTATATAAAGCATAGATGTTAATAGTATGTTAGATATTGTGATGTGTGACTTTTTTTTCCTGGTGTTTAAATGTATGTGAAGTATTGTTTGCTGTGAGATATAGACCATAAACATCTAAACAGTTTTTATTTATTTTTTTGTAAACAGGCTCTACACTAAACATGAGGCTTGAACTCACAAGCCTGAGATCAAGAGTCACATGCTGTATGGACTGAGCCAGCCAGGCATCCCTAAACTTTTTAAAAATTTAAATTTTTAAAAATGATTTATTTGTTTGTTTGTAGAGCAGGGGGAGGGACAGAGGGAGAAGGAGAGAGAATCCCAGGCAAACCCTGCACTGAGTGTATGGAGCCCAGTGTGCAGCTTGATGGGGGGGGGGGGGCTGTCAATCCTATGGCTCTGAAATCATGACCTGAGCCAAAACCAAGAGTTGGACACTTAATCAACTGAGCCACCCAAGGACCCCTGAAGATTTTCTTTCTTTTTTTTTAAGATTTTATTTATTTATTCATGAAAGACACACACAGAGAGAGAGAGAGAGAGAGAGAGGAGAGAGAGCAGAGACACAGTCGGAGAAGCACGCCCCATGCTGGAAGCCTGATACGGGACTCGATCCCGGGACTCCAGGATCACACCCTGAGCCAAAGGCAGGCGCCAAACCACTGAGCCACCCAGGGATCCCAAGATTTTCATTTTTAAGTAATCTCTACACACAAGATGGGGCTCAACCTTACACCCCCCAGATCAAGAGTTGCATGCTGTATTGACTGAGCCAGCCAGGCATCCCAAGACCATAAACATCCAGAAATGATGCAGTTAAAATGAAAAGTAAAGTGTTTCACATTCACTTGAGTTTGAATATTTTCCACCAAAAAATAACTACATAAATCAGTGAGAAGAGTGGCATTATTTTATAGTTTTGAAAATCTCTTTCATCCTAAGTGTAACAGAATACAGCTGGTATTTTATATGTGCTCTTGCATTTATTTATTTATTTATTTACTTACTTACTTACTTACTTACTTACTTACTTACTTATTTATGGGAGTGGGGAAAAGGGTAGAGGGAGAGAGAATCCCAAGCATACTCCACACACAGCTGGAGCCTGACTTGGGGCTTGATCTCACAACCCTGAGGTCATGACCTGAGCTGGAATCAAGAGTTGGACACTTAACCAACTGAACCACCCAGGTGCCCCTATGTGCTCTTGCATTTAATCTGCTGAGATAAATAAAGAAAACCTGGCCTCATACATGCACAATTTAAAAATGAAGAAGTATTTAATAGCCTTTTCAGATATTTGTCAATATTATTCTTTAATACCACACCAAAAATCAACAATTGGTAATTTCTTAAAGGTTACTGTAATGTGGAATCTGGCCTTTATCTCTCTGTCCTTTTTTTTAAAGATTGGTATTAATTTTAATTTTTTGTATTTTTTTAAGTAACCTCTATCCACAAAGTGGTCTTGAACTCACAACTCCAAGATCAAGAGCCACATGCTCCACTGACTAAATAAGCCAGCCGATACCCCTAGCCTCAGTCTCTTAAATTAAAATCCATTTGTCTATCTTATACTTTATAATATTGCAACAGATGATTTTGTACCATCACACAGTAATCATTTGGGAAATATTGGTTCAATGAGTTAGGCAGATCTTCCAAATACTGACATATTTCATTAGATGGTATTACAAAATCACATTCATTAGTAACGTCAGCAATCTCATCACAAAAGACTAAGTATTAGAAAACTGTCAAGTTCATGGTGATAGATGCTTGTTTTTCAATGTTAATTTTTATTTATTTTTTTTTAATTTATTTATTTTTATGATAGTCACAGAGAGAGAGAGAGAGAGAGGCAGAGACACAGGCAGAGGGAGAAGCAGGCTCCATGCACCGGGAGCCCGATATGGGATTCGATCCCGGGTCTCCAGGACCGCGCCCCGAGCCAAAGGCAAGCGCCAAACCGCTGCGCCACCCAGGGATCCCTCAATGTTAATTTTTAAAAATATTTTATTATTCATGAGAGACATAGAGAGAGAGAGGCAGGGGAGAAGCAGGATCCATGCAGGGAGGCAGGGGAGAAGCAGGATCCATGCAGGGAACCCGATGTGGAACTCGAGCCCGGGACTTCAGGATCACGCCCTGGGCCGAAGGCAGGCGTCAAACTGTCAAGTCACCCAGGGATCCTCTCAATACGCTAATTTTTTGTTTGAAAGTCAAATTAACAAAAATTACTACTAGTTTTCTTTACTGTCAGTTTTTATAAATCACTTCATTCTTGACAAAATGTTTACCAAACATACAAGTCTTTTTTTTTTAAACATACAAGTCTTTATCTTCTTATCCAAAAGGTGTCAGTTATTCTTTCAAATAAAATTGGTGTCCATAAAAAGGGGGCTAATTCAGCTCACCACTCAATCATAAAAGCGCATTTCCTGGAAACAACTTGATACTTCAACATGAAGGAAAACTTTATGTGCATTTTAATATCCTGGTTGTAATATGATAGTTCTGCAAGACATTACCATTGGGATAAATTGAGCAAAGAGCTCATGGGGTCTCTCTACCTAATTTTTTTACAAATGGATGAATCTAAAATTATCTCAAAATAAGGGGCGCCTGAGTGGCTCGGTGGTTGACCGTCTGCCTTTGCCTCAGAGCATGATCCCAGGATCCAGGATCAAGTCCCACATCGGGCTCCTTGCAGGGAGCCTGCTTCTCCCTCTGCCTAGGTCTCTGCCTCTCTCTCCGTGTGGCTTTCATGAATAAATAAATAAACTCTTTAAAAAATAAATAAATAAAATAAAATAAAATAATCTCAAAATAAAACTATAATTTAAAAATCTTGTACTTAGGGTCAAGTTAACAAAACTAATTTTAACTGTTTTATGAAGAACATTTGTAAGTGGGAACTGGCCTGTTTTTACAAGTGTGTGGTGGTAAAGGACACAAGAACAGTTTAATAACACTGTCCCAATTCAAGCTAAAGGCCCAGCAGATTTACCCACCATTGCCTTTGTACAATCAGTGCAAATTTCAGCACAACAGAAAAGAGCAAATTATGCCTTAGTGTTATAATGAAATTTTTTTTGGACCTTGTGGATCACATGAAAGGGCTCCCAAACATCCTCTAACCACACTCAGAGAAACACTGATCCATAATAAGTTAAAATATAATAGTTATATTAAAACTTACTGCCACCTCTTTTCTTTTTTTTTTTTTTCTTAAGTAATCTCTACATCCAACATGGGGCTCAAACTCATGATCCCGAATCAAGAGACCCATGCTTTACCTGACTGAGCCAGCCTGGCACCCCTGCTACCCCCTTTTGAAACAGATTTCAATGGTGACCATAACAGGCTTCTGGACTTGACATGATATTGTCTCATGCTGTTCATCATCTTTTCAAAATTTTCTCCATGCAGTATATAGTCTATTACTTAAAGCATAAGAGTGGTAGGATGGGCAGTGGTTGAGTTTGGGCATTTTTTTCTGTTTGTTTTAAACATCTAAAACGATTATCTCAGGATATGAAATATGGGGCAATGGTAGCTAGTCCAGATAGAGAGGAAAAAAAAAATAAAACCACAAGATTTTGAAGATCCACATATATGAATACCATCTGGTGCTTGTCTCCTAATCAGCTTCTAGGATGCACAGAGGTTTTAATGCTAGGCCCATGTGGAGAACTCAGGTTACCTGTTCCAATTTCGTCTCTTCTGAGAAGTTCTAAGCAGAGGATCTCATGAGGTTTAAGAATCAGTATAGGTGGGAAGCCTGGGTGGTTCAGTGGTTGAGCATTGGCCTTCAGCTCAGGGCGTGGTCCCAGAGTCCCAGGATCGAGTTCCACGTTGCGCTCCCTGCAAGGACCCTGCTTCTCCCTCTGCATGTGTCTCTCCCTCTCTATGTGTCTCTCATTAGTAAATAAATAAAGTTTTTTTTAAAAATATTTATTTATTTTTATTTATGAGAGACACAGAGAGAGAGAGAGAGAGAGAGAGAGGCAGAGACACAGGAGGAGGGAGAAGCAGGCTCCATGCCGGGAGCCTGACGTGGGACCTGATCCCGGGACTCCAGGATCGCGCCCTGGGCCAAAGGCAGGAGCCAAACCGCCGAGCCACCTAGGGATCCCCTAAATAAAGTCTTAAAAAAAATGGAATCAGTATAGGTGGGGGCCAGGGAGGGCCAAATATGGGGCATCTTTCTAGCATTTCCAGTCTCTGTTTGGTTGCTGTTCTATATAAATGTCTCCCCAGGTTTGAGTCTCTTTGAATCTATTTGTATCTTCAGATATGAGTTGTGCTCTATTTTTTTGTTGTTGAGAATTTTATATAATTTAAGGCAAAATCGTTTGGATTTATAGACCAATTACATTGAAACTGAAATATTTCTTCTTAAAGTTAAAAAAAAACAGTGAAAGATACATATTTTCTTTGGGAATCCTTATTTTTGGGACATCATTTTTATAGAAAAGAATAATTATATTCTAAGATGCAAAGAGATTAAAACTCTAAAAGTATTTTTTCTATTGAGAAGGAGAAATAATAGCAGGCCAGGATTTAACATGGGAAGGAATGAGAAGGGGAAACCATGCCAGCTGCTCCATCTAGGATAGTATTTCATAATTTTTCACCAGTTTCTGCACATTCATCTCAAACTTAGATTTTGAACAAAAACTAAGACTCCCACACCCTGGGGTGCCTAGCTGAGTTAGGTGAGCATGTGACTCTTAATCTCGGGATCATAAGTTCAAGCCCCATGTTAGGCATGGAGCCTACTTAAAATTAAAAAAAAATAAAATAAAATTTTATAAAATTTATGCACCTCATATTATTTGAACTACTATATATTATTTGATTTCCTAACTCTAACTTTGGATATTGAGACTTTGGGACCTATGTTTCTTTTTCCCTAAGTTGAGAGCCAATCACCCAAACACTGAATATTGTACTTACTATTTTCATAATAACTTGAAATTGTGTTTCATCAACAAACAAAAAAAAAGAAAGAAATTGTGTTTCATCACTTTCTAAATACTCATATACAAGTGAGGTTTTTCCTATTTTTATATGGTTCTACTCTAAATACCTGTCCACAGATAAAAAGACATGTTATTATACAGTTTCTCAAAATCTCAAAATTCTACTTTCCAAATAAAACTCAGAATCATTTAGTCAAGTTCCATGAAAAAAAAAATTGGGCCTTGACTCAGAATTATAAATGAATTTGTAGGACACTGCCATTCTCAAAAAAAGAGTACTCCCAACCAGAAAAATCATATATTTTATAATGGTTGGAAAGATTTAAACCAAAGAATTACCTGTAGGATATATTATGGCAATTCAAAGAAGAATAGAAAGTAATTTCATTTTCTATTTCTGTATATGTAAGGGTGTTTTCTTCATGAAAGCATATAATACATTTCTACACCAGTAAATAAAAATATCTTCAGTATGGACTCAACCTGGAAACAAAAGAGAGCCCCAGGAAACAAGCAAAAATGGACACCCCTTCCCAAAACCTAGAGCTAGGATAGTCACAATCTTTCTCACCAGTCAGCCCTTTCCATAATAAAACCTTCTTCTACCCATGCAACATCTCTGTTCACATGAATTCACCGTCTCCCAAACTCTCCCTGATGCTGACTTTGCTAGGTCATCTCTGGGAAACTAAATCAGCCATGGTTTCTGTCAAGTCTCTTGTTCTAAAAATATAAGACAGACATTAAGAGATGCTCTCTAGTATTGCTGTTTCTCTAATATCAGGCTACTGTGTAAAGAGTGTTCAAATGTTCTTGGAAGATGATAGAATGGTCTCCATTCCCCAATTTCAGCCTACTTAGAAGTGCCCTCTCCAACAAGTTACCTGACAGATCTTCCACAACCCATCATCCCCACTAGGAAAAGCCAGAGCTCCTGAAAATGAGCCAGCAGTTCTCCTTCACACGGATTGGAGATGTTGACTTTTACTATTAGGCTCCTGAACACTCCTGTCACACATAAAATGTCTCTATTTTGGTGCCTGGCAATGGCTGACTTATTACTAAAGCCACAGCCCTAAGTGTGACTTTGGGCATCTCATGAAATAGGAGTCTTGGCTAAAGATTTCACTATACTTGTACATAGAAGGTTCCTATCCTAGGTGTGTCCTCTGATGTCTGATGAGGTTTGATTTCCGACTAAAGCCTCGCTCACACTTCCTACAAATATAAGGCTTCTCTCCCGAATGTATCCTCTGATGTCGAATAAGGTGTGACTGCCGGCTGAAGCCTTGCCCACATTCCCTGCACACATGAGGCTTCCCCCCTGAGTGTGCCTTCTGGTGTGTGATGAGAGTTAACTTATCACAAAAGCCTTGCCCACACTCCCTGCACACAAAGAGTATACTACCTGAGTGTGCTCTCCTGTGCCTAAATAAGTTTGGTTTTTGGCTAAACCTTTTACCACACTCCCTGCATATGAAAGGCTTTTCCCCTGAATGTGTTCTCTGATGTGCGATGAGGGTTGACTTATCATTAAAGCCTCGCCCACACTCCCTGCACACAAATGGCTTTTCCCCTGAATGTGTCCTCTGGTGTGTGATCAGGGTTGATTTCCGGGTAAAGCCTCGTCCACATTCCCTGCACACAAATGGCTTCTCCCCTGTGTGTGACCTCTGGTGTTTGTTGAGGTTTGACTTTAGGCTAAAGCGCTGCCCACACTCCAGGCATACATAAGGTTTAACCCCTGAGTGTGTTCTTTGATGTGTCTTGAGGTTTGATTTCCAGCTAAAATGGCGCCCACATTCTGTGCATATGTAAGGCTTCTCTCCTGTGTGGGTCCTTAAGTGTCTAATGAGGTGTGACTTCTGGCTAAAGCTCTGCTCACACTCCCTGCACACATAAGGTTTCTCTCCCGAATGTGTCCTCTTATGTCTGATGAGATGGGAATGCTGGCGAAAGCCATGCCCACACTCCCTGCAAACATAAGGCTTCTCCCCAGAGTGTGCCCTCTGGTGTGTGATAAGGTTTGACTTCAGGCTAAAGCTCTGCCCACATTCCTTGCACACATACGGCTTGACCCCTGAATGTGTCCTCTGATGTGTGAAGAGGTTTGACTTCCAAGTAAAGCCTCGTCCACACTCCTTGCACACATAAGGTTTCTCCCCTGAGTGTGTCCTCTGGTGTGTGATAAGGTTTGACTTCCAGGTAAAGCCTCGTCCACATTCCTTGCACACATAAGGGTTTTCCCCAGAGGGTATCCTCTGGTTTTTGATGAGGATTGACCTTTTGCTAAAGCTCTGTTTCCACTCAGTGTACATGTAAGGTGTCTCCCCCGCGTCCATCTTCTGGAGGCTGAGCAGTTTTGGCTCCTTCAAAAAGCCTAGCCCAAATTCCCCATATTTGATTGCTCCAAATCCTGAGACTTCTACACCATGCAACATTTTGTCTGTTTCCTCAAGGGCTGTCCTCTGGCCTAGACTGGGCCCTAGGTCCATTACTGTGTTGTCTTGCTTGGACCTTACTGGCTGTTCTTGCAGTAGGCTGGAGAATACCTCTGAAGTGCTGCTTTTGCTTACTCTTCTCCCCGACAAGAACTTGGGGTCTTCTGCCTCTTGAATTTCTGTTTTGTCACTCAAGCAGGTCTGACCAAAGAGCTGCTTCGGCTGCTGTTTCTGATCTTCTGGATAGTGTTTCCCTGGATGGAGATGATTTCCTGCATGTAAACTTGAGAAGAGCTGAGGCAGGTGACTGAACCACACATGCTGGCTGAGGTCTTGCTGACTAGTGAATGCCAGGGGGCAGTGGGGACAAAGCTGAATGTTTAGCTTTGATCCTGCCGAAGAAACAATATTTTTAGTCAGACTAGCTATGGGTTGGGTTGCCTGTGCCATTTTGCTTTGCTCATTGGCTATTCACAATATATTTATATCACAACCTGTCTCCCACTCAGACATCCTTGCATCTATAAAAAGAACTATTTTTTAAAGATTTTATTTATTTATTCATGAGAGACACAGAGAGAGAGGCAGAGACATAGGCAGAGGGAGAAACAAGCTCCCTGAGGGGAGCCTGATGCAGGACCCAATCCCAAGACCCTGGGATCACAACCCGAGCCAAAGGCAGACCCTCAACCACTGAGTCACCCAGGCACCCCTAAAAAGAGCTATTTCTCATTTTACTTTATACACTATATTTTTAATTACAAGAATTAACAAACTTGTCAGGCAGGCCAAATTCAGCCCACAATCTGTTTTTTTTTTTTTTTATGGCCTACCAGGTAAACAACGGATTGTACCTTTCTAAGGAGTAAAGAAAGAAAGAAAAATAAATAAATATCCAATCAATGGGGCAATAGACTGCATGTGACCTGGAAAGCTTAAAATATTTACTGTGTGGCCCCTAATAGAAAAAGTTTTTGCATCCTTGTCCTATTGCAATATAGAAAATTCATTCCAAAACTTATTTTCACTTATTTCCACTGACAGAGTAAAAAGTTTAGTTCCAGAAATCAATCAAAAAACATAACAATAAACTGAGAAGCATTTATTCATGAAAAACACTGAACTCCAGATAAGAAAAGTGGGAATCTGTAACATTATTGCCTGGAGCTGCTCTCACCCTTCCAATCCCCTAGCTTGGTTGGTATGGTAGTTATACTAGGACAGGCCATAAAACGATGAGTTTTGCTGCTGCTATGGGGCAGTCACCTTGATTTGAGTAGAAGGTGAGAAACCAATGATGGGTGGAACTGTCAGTAAATGTGATCTAGGTGGTAAATGAACAGAGAAGGCCACCGATGACCACTATCTGGGATTGCAGTCTTGGTTGGGGACCTCCCCACAAAAAGACTGGTAGGCCACCAGAAATGTAGCAGGGGAAGACCTGAAGGTGAGAGAGCCAGGGGGGTGCTTGATAAACTCTCAACACAACCCTGGCTGACTAGAAGACTGTTTTTGCAAAAGCAGGGGAGATGGATGGGAGCTGTGCACAAAACCCTGCCTGACACAGAGGCTATAACCATATACAGAGGAAAAAACAGAGGGATCAGTGGACAGTAAAAAGCCAGACAAGACTTGGAAACTTATGTGAACTCTGAATGAGCTCCCTAACCCACATATTTATCCCCTGGCAGAGGTAGGAAGCCTGACTGGCTCAGAGTCTTTGAACACAACCTATTGTTAATTGTTGCAGATCACTAAGCTCTGCAGACACAAGGTTGAAATCAGGAAGCCAGGATTAAAAATACAAGAATAGAATAGCAAATCAAATGGAAACATCACCTTCCCAGAGAAAACATATTCCAGTATTTAGTCTAGAAAAGTTACTAAAAGTGGCAACAACAATATCTAGGCAGGAAACTTCATCAGCTACTAGAGGGCTACAACATAGTATCTAAAATATCCAGTTTCCAAAGAAACAGAAAAGCATGACCCATACTGAGAGAAAAAAATGCAGACAATAGAAACTGTTGCTGGGTGGCCCAGATGTTGATTTACTGGGGGGGGGGGGAGTTCAAAGCTGATATTATGAATATATTTAAAGAGCTAAAGGAAACATGTAAAAACTTAAAGTACAATAACTTAAATACAAAAATCTCAATAGAAAATAAAAACTATTAAAAGGAAACTCTGGAATTAAAAAGTAAAATAATTGATATTACAAAATTACTAGGAAGATACAACAGCATATTTGAGTTTGCAACAGAACCAATGAAGTTGAAGATAAATCAATAGAAATTACCTAAACTGAAACACAGGTGAAAGAAAGATCAAAGAAAAGCAAAGAGCCCCAGAAACCTGTGGAACACCATCAGATAAACCAATCCGTGCATAATGGGAATGCACAAAGGAAAAGACAAAGAGAGCAGAAAAAAATGTCTGAAGAAATAATAACTAAAAAGTCTGAAAACTGATATAAAACATTAGCCTGCAAATCAAAGAAGCTCACAAAACTTCAAGAAAAACATAGAGAACCCCAGAGAAACACATCATGGCCAAGGTGTTGACAATCAGAAAAAAAGACAAAAGAGAAAAGTTTGAAAGCAGCAAAAGAAAAATGATTCAACATGCACAGGAGGAAACAATATGATTAGTGCTAACTTCTCATCAGAGACAATGGAGACAAAAAGGTGGTAGAATGATTTATTCAAAGGGCCGAAATAAAGGTGATAAAGCTACTAAGGAGGAATTCTATTCTCACGAAACTGTCCTTCAAAAATGAAATTGATGCAGATATTCACAGATTAACAGGTACTCAGAGAGTATCTGTTGCTAGCAAACATACATCTGTTGCTAGCAAACATTTTATAAGAAATATTAAATAAGTCTGTTGGGCTGAAGAGAAATGACACCAGACACTAACTCAAATTCACAGGAACAAATGAGGACCACCAAAACTGGGTAAAACTGGTAAGTATCCGGGTAAATATAACAGACTGCATATGTATATTTTTCTCCTTCCTTCTCTTAATTTCTCTGAAATGCATAAGATTATTAGAAAAGGATGTAACTATAACACCATATTATGGGCTTTATAATATATATATTTTACTGGAACTAAGTTAGTATTAATTAGATTATGCTAAATTAGATGCATGTTTAATTCCTAGAGCTGAATTAAGAAAATAACTACAAAAATTATATATATATATATATGCCAAAAGGAAGGTAGGGGAATAAAAAAATATGAAGCATATAAAGAACAAAGAGCAAAACGGCACTTAAATCATATCAATAACTATATTAAATATGAATAAACCAAATAGTCTAAACAAAAGACAAAAACTTCTTAGTTATACCACCCAAAAGCATGATCCATTCAAATTTTTGTAAAATTGAACATCACTGAAGTTTAAAACTTTTATGCTTGAAAAGACACCATGAAGACAATGAAAAGACAAGTCTCAGACTTGTGTTTTTTCTGAAACTTGATTTTAGAGTTCAAAGTATGTGAAAACCATATATCTGATATAGGACTCTGTCTACAATATATGAAAAACTCTTACAACTCATAAAGAAGACAAAACAATCCAATTTAAAAATGGGCAAAAGAACTGAATAACTATTCACTAAAGAGACATGCGAAGTGTTATTTGGCATATAAAAAGATCAATATGGGGCACCTGGGTGGCTCAGTGGGTTAAGCATCTGCCTTCGGCTCAGATCATGATCTCAGGATCCTGGGATTGAGCCCCAAGTTAGGCTCCCAGCTCAGTAGGCTGTCTGCTTCTCCCTCTACTCCTCCCCCTTCTCGTGCTCACCCTCTCTCTCAAATAAACAAAATCTTTTTAAAAAATCATCATTAGTTATTAGGGAAATGCAAATTAAAACCACAATGAAATACCATACACCCACTAGAATATCTGTAATCAAAATTAAAGACAATTCCAAGTGCTGATAAGGATGTAAAGAAACACACTGCTAACAGAAAATATAAAAACAGAAAACAAAAATATAAAATAGAAATACTAATAGAAATGTAAAGCCGCTATGGAAAATAATTTTGCAGTTTCTTCAAAAGTTAAATATAAACATATCACACAATCCAGAAATTTTACATCTACTGGTGTAAAATAGAGAGAACTCTATCCAAAAATAAAAATGTATGCCCACATTGAGACTGGTACGTGATTGTTTTTAGCAGTGCTAGTCACAATAGCCAAAAAGTGGACACAACCCATATATTCATCAACCTGTGAATGGGTAAACAAAATGTGCTATGTCCATACAATGGAATATTTTTTTAAGATTTTATTTATTTATTCATAGAGACACAGAGAGAGAGAGGGGCAGAGGAACAGGCAGAGGGAGAAGCAGGCTCCATGCAGGGAGCCCGATGTGGGACTCGATCCAGGGTCCCCAGGATCACACCCCAGGCTGCAGGCAGTGCTAAACCGCTGTGCCACCAGAGCTGCCCATACAATGGAATATTATATGGCAATAAAAATGAACAAATTACTGGGCCACCAGGGTGGCTCAGTTGGTTAAGCTTCTCACGCTTGACTTCAGCTCAGGTCATGATCTCAAGATCATGGGATCAGCCCTGCCTCCAGCTCTCTGCTGAGCATGGAGCTTGCTTGGGATTCTCCCTCTCTCTCTCTCTCTCCCCAGGCACACACATGAGCACCCTCTCTCAGAAAAGAAAAAAAGAAAAAAAGGAATGGATTACTGATACATGCCACAGCTTGGATGAACCTCAAAAATATTATGCCAGATACAAAAGACTATATATTTTATGATATCATGTATAGAATATGTCCAGAAACAGCAAATCTATAGAGACAGCATATCAAGGGGGTTCCCTAGAGCTCAGGTAGGAGGAGGGATAGATGCAAATGGGCATAACAGAGCTTTTGGGGATGACAGTATATTCAAAAGCTAAATGGAAGTAATGATCATACAACAAAAACATTTTTACCAAAAATAATGCAACTGTACACTTACAATAACTAGATTTTATGTATATAAGTTATATCTCAATGAAGTTGTTTAAAAACTGTAAGAATGCATATCTTATATGTCAGTGTCATAAAAGACAAAGAAAGATTATTGAAATGATCTATATTAAGGGAGATTAAATAGACATGACATATAAATGCACTACTGAAACCCAGATTAGATCATTTTCTGGAGAGTAAAAAGACATTACTGTGTCTGTTGACAAAATTATAATATGAGAAGTAGATATTAGATAAAATTACTGTATCAAAGTTAAATTGACTGAAGTTGCTAACTTATGGCTAAATGAGAATACTTCCCTTCTTAGAAAACCTTTTAACAAACATGTACATATGAACCTACACACACACACACACACACACACTTATACATATAC